TGTAGTAGTGTAGTCAGTCCCGACTAGACCCTTGCGCCGCCACCCAGCCTTCATCCGAACTTCAAACTAAACGACTTTGTGACGTCCGGTGAAGATGGATACACACAACCACGGGTGTGGTACCTTGCACTACGCCATCTCGCTAACAGTAGAGAGTATTTGCGTTCTGTTTCCTTCCCGCCGGAGGGAAATATCTCGGCCGGTATCGAAAGACAACCATGGAGTTTCATGCTGTTCTAGACGGTGGAGGAGGAATGCAAGGGCAACGATGTTAGATGTTAGTAAAAGATGCAGGCCTAGCTCGCCGTTACCTCGCCTCGAACCAGCAACGTTGACAGAGATTGAAGGTGTGGAAGAAATGTCCGTGACACCGCTCCTTTGCTCGTCGCGTTCAGCTGCAACACCTTGGCCAGACCAGCCTGAGGCCTCCATGGCATCTGTGTCGTGTTTGGCAGTTTGGGTCGTAGCTATCAACATCATCCTGCCATCTCTTTCCCTCATCATCACCCCACCAACTACCTCATCATACCTCATCAACCCCACTAAGCTTTGGTCTCGTCGAAATGTTAACCACGAGACACCACGTTTCAAAACAATCTCCAAACGCGCAACCGAGAACCAATCGGCATACCTAAAACAATCACAATCACATGATATTGTTGTTCAGCCTCACATGCGCCTCGTCCGCTGTCGTGCCATAGGCCAGTTACACACAGATGCAGCTGTCACTTGTCGCAGAAGTTCGGAGAGCCTTAATTCCCAGGACTCTGTTAATTAAGCGGGGTAGGTATGGGCACAACCCAAAACAGCTGCACCGGATTTTTAAGGCATCCCATTATCCTGCCAATCTGGAATCTACTCCAGATTTGATGAGTGGGTGAAATGATGCGCTGATTCCTGGTCGTCTCATCATGTTTCCTCAGTGCTGCTCGTGACGAGGGATTAACCTAGTGCAAGTCGCGATTCTCTCACAGGAACGGTGTGGGACCGGCGAAAACGACGCCGAAAGTACCAAACTCGCGCGGTCTGCGGTCGGCTTTGAATGCCGGAGCGAATGCGCGATGGAGAACTGCCCGAGGTCGAAAGGACCAAGGTTTACTGTGACCTTAGTAAACCAGCTGAGCAGACAGGTCGCGCGAAAGATGTAAAACATGAATCGTGTAGTCGCTCGCCTGTCGCGTGCTTTGTCAAAAAAGCAAAAGAAAATATCGGTCTTGTTTAGTCTTGGTGCTTCCATTAGCGGGCTGCGGTTCGTTCATTTTCCCCTTTGGGGGGGATGGAGGGGCGGGCGAGCATGTCTGGGTGAACAGGGCGTGAACTATTCGATCGGCGCCACTAATCTCGCATTCGTCTGCCCTTTCCCTTCCTGACTCGAGATAATCGCACCGAAATTCTGCGGTGTGCGGAGTGTCACGTCGTCCCACTTGGGCGCTATGTCTCAGGTTTGCGATCGTCATGGAATCGCGATTTCGCCGCGGTGATAATTTCCATTGTCATTGCGGATGAGGGAATGCGGTTGCGGGACACACCGTGGGAAAGCCGTTGGGCATCTGGTGTCGGATGCCGATGTGTGGGTTTCGGATGCTGAACCAAACTATAGATCTAACTACTGCATGTACAATACTATAGTGCAATACTTGCTTGTTGGGTTTGTATGGATTGGCCAGTGTTTGCACGTTTATTTGCATTGGGCTGCTTCTTTGACGCAGGAGGCGACGAGCGCTGGGTGGCTTGCTGTATGAGCTGATGTGAGCCGATTTCGCTTTTTACTTTTGACGAAAGCCCCATGCAGCTTTGCGCGAACAGACGACGCCTGTCTCAGCAGCCCGAGGTCTGTTCAGCTGCCTCGTCGAGGGATGATGACATTGAGCGAAAGGTTCCGATCCCCAAAATAACGACATGACCACATCGCAATGTCAATGTGCGCATGGCGGGCGACGGAGAAGGCTCCGATCGGCCTAATCTCATCTGTTCGCGCGCTGCTCGCAAGCTCCAAGCCAAAGGCCGAAATTAGATGGCACGTGGGAAGGGATGATGCAAAGAACATTCTTGAGACGTTCGATTTTGGTCTTCCCGCCCGCACGGCTTAGCCTGCTTCAGGACCAGCCCCCATGTCGCATGACATGGAACGCGGAGCCAGTTCGCCGCCAAACGCGTGGGCAGCAAGAAGTAAGGGACAGCGCCCTCGACACTGTTTCCATGGAACAGCCCTGATGCAAGCGGCGGACGTGCCTGGCCCACACACATGTCACGGAACGGTTTTTTCTCTCGCTCCTGCGAGTGACCCATTCAATTGCCATGCTCGCCCTTGTCAGTTGTTTCGGCCTAAGGCAGCGATCCCGGACGATCAGAGAACCAGACATGCAGGATGGTTGTAATCCTGCGACAACGATATGTGAACCAACATGTCATAATTATCGTACGATGTGGCAAAGCCGATGAGAAGGTTCGCGCGGGTAAGGCGACGCCAGGCACTCCTAGCCGCACACTCCTGGTGTGCACTGAACGCAGAAAGGGATGGGTGGTGGCAGGCCCTGGGGTGGATCTGTGTATGTGTCAAGTGAAAGGGTGTCGTCATGTGCACAGTCGTGTGCGAGTGGTGGCATGTCAGCGGCCCATGATTCGCGTTTGGCGAACAGGTGGGAGATTTGGCCCTCGACTACCCATGCCCTCCATGCCGCATCGGGAAGGCTTCTCGAAGGGCTGCGATCGCCGGTCAGTGCCCGCGAGAATAACGACACTGTTCATGCATAACCTCTTTTGCGCCGTGATTTGTTTATGCAACGCAACACGAGCAGCGCCGAGGAGCGGCTCGGCCGTTTGACAATAGTTCACCCATCCGTTCCCCGATCATGCGAACACCTATTGCGTCGCATGGCCGAGCCCCGGGGAAAAAAGTAACGTAAGGAGCGGTGCCCATGGTCGCCGTCTTGGTTCGTCTGCCTATTACCGTTCCGTTTGTGTCATGTTGCATGGTTCGAGTTTGTCGTCCCATGCGCCAGGTCACGCTGCTTTGGCTTTAGTTCGGCATTGCGCCGTGTTTTGGTTTTTTATGCCGACTCGCCTGACGGCACGTAGATGAATGACACAATCTGCCTGAATGCGATGTCGTGGATATTGGCGCGAACGAACTGGCGGGTAGGTGGGTGGGCGTGACGGCGACGGCAAGGGGAATATGTCATGGGCATAGACTTTGGACTAGGCGTGGTCTTCTAGAAGCATCATGGAAGGTTTTTTTCTGCAAAGGCACGCACTGGGCAGGTTGGGTGGTGAGAGGGCGTGCCTTGGGCGGGTTGAACTAGGCTGTTTCAAAGCGGTTCGTGAGGGCTGGGGCACGTGCGAGCACCATCTCAGCCTTGTGTTCCGAGTGGGACGGGAGCGGAGAGCGCGCGCGCGCACACAACAAAGTTTGGTTTACGCCCAAGGCACCAATTCGAGGCCGATTAGCTTTGGCAACTAACTGCAGGCAAAGGCGGCAACCATGGGAATGATGGGATTTGGCCAGGCTTATCGATTAGCAGCCACGCAGCCCTACGGCATCCTCAAACACGCCAGCCCGCCAATCACGTGCGCCGCCTGCTTTTTGCGGGGCGCAACACCCTCTTGCCTGCACAGCAGAACCGATGACACGACACCCAGCAGCCCAAGCCCTAAAATAGTTTGCATACACACTTACGCATTGCAGCGCCATGCAAGGACAGCGAACCGTTCTAAAGACAAGTTCATGCAAAGCCGCCCTCGTGTTGCCCAATCGCGTGGCCCAAAAGTGAGGCTACGAGGCTGTGCTAGTGGAGACAGACGTGATGATCGTGAACAACGCACCTTTACCACACCCTCCTGGCGAACGTGTAGTAGACAGACACTGCGTGAGACAGCCACCACACTCCCCCACCCACCCAGGAGGCGAAAAATTTCCGACTGGAGCTAAGCTTTGCTGAACACACCCTGAAGCGGTGACAGCGCAGCGCTCCGCGCACGCTGAGTCGGCCACGTAGGTACCTGTTTGACCGACCTTTTGCTCAGGCATGAGCAAGTGTGGCACCCATGGCCGCTACGTCATCATACGATGATCCGGGGTAGACGAACGTTGTTTTCCCGGCGGTGGGAATTTCGTTTGCTGTTCACCGCCACGCCACACACCTCGTACGTGCAGGGTCATGCCGGACGGCCTGTTGCTATGTTGAGGGACACGGTAACTTTGGAGGGTCCGAAAGAAACGTAATTAGGGAGGGATGGAGGGATGGAGGGCGGGTTTTGCTTCTCGGAGATGAACGGAACCGTTTGGTTCATGTTGTATTATAATCTTGCTACTACTATGACAATGTGCTGGCCATGCTGGCTTGCAGGGTACAGGTGGCGAGCGCGAAAAAAAGTCTTTCCAACGTAGTCTTTGATACACTTCGAGGCCGTAAACTAGCTGGTTGAACACGTAGTTCGACACGTAACATCTAAGAGGGGGGAAAACATCGGTGTAAAGGTATCCTCGCCACGCTATGCCGCTGAGTGTGCTTGTGTTGAGATTGATGACTGAATATAGAGAAATGCGAATGAACCACACTAAACCAGTGCTGTGACAAACAGGTTCATGGAAAAAACAACCATGATAATGGACAGAATGCGGGTCTAGAGGGAGAAACAAACGCTATGATGTTCAGCAAAATGCGAGAAAAACCAGAATGCCAAAGAAGATTGATATCCATGCGAAAAAAGATGTTGACAACCAACCCACGCTAAATGCCACAGTCGTGCGGAACAATGCCCCTGCGTTGATCTTCATCCCAGGCTCTGCAGCGCGGTGTTCCCTATTCTAAGCTTTCGTGGTATACCCCGTGTGACTCCTGAACCCTTCTCTCTTTGTTTGCGCCGAAACCCCTGGGTATACCCACGCTTCATTACGGTTCCTGCCCGAATGTTTGTGTATGCATGCATCCCGAAATATGTCTATATCCCATCTACTACAAGTAAAGAAATCGTTGAATAATGCGAGTTGCGAGACGTGTCTATGCGACTGCCGATGCGGGTCGCTCGTAAGGTGTCGACGGTTGGGGTGGGGATGGCCGGTCGCTTTCCTCGCGCTTCATGCTCTTGATGCTGCCGGTTCCGCTGCGCTGCGACATGCGGTCGGGACTCCTCATGCCCTCACTCCGTGTGTGGTGCTCTGCTCGTGACGGGCCTGCAGCCTCTTCTTCCCTTCTCCTCTGATGGTACGCCTCCATGTAGCTGGGGATGCTGCCCTCTTGCTTGATAATCGACTGCATGCCGGGTACAGGTGCTGTCCTGGCTCCGCTGATCAGGTCTTCTTCCGACTGGGGTTGAATCTGGGGAAGAGGTTGGCCTAGTTGAGGGGGCACGCTGGAACGGTTGCGAGGGTCTGCGCGCCTGCGACTGAATGAGCTGTTCCTCCTCCTGCGTCCGCCTGCGCTGGAACCGCTGTCGGTCCGCTGGTGGTAGCCGTGCATCGGACCTTGGGGCATGGGCGGGGGCACCTGATGCAGCTGCGGCGGCATCGGCGGCGGGTTTGGCATCAGTTGAGGGGCGTTGGCAGGCGTGAAGCCATGCGGGGCAGAGGCTGGTATAACGGGCACTTGCGATGGCGAGCTCATGCCTGTGCCGGTTGCAGATGGGTGGAGCTGAAACACCGGCGCATTCGCACGCGCGCTCATCTCCTGCTCCCCCAGCTGCCAGTGCATCGATTCGGCGGACCGCCAGGGAATGCCCATCTCGGTAGCGACCTTCTGCCACATTTGGTCCTTGAATCTAAGAAGAGTCAGTATTGATTTTGGGTAGAGTGCGCGGAAATGCGTCGCATACGCGTGCGGCAGAGTGGGCTGGGGTAGATCTGAAACCAAAGAGGTGGGCTCAAAACGAAGGAACGGATGACCAAGATGGAGAAGTCTGGCCATCCGGATTTGTCGAGTGGTACATACCGAGCGTAGAGTCTTGCGAGCTTGTTTTTCTTCTCCTCGTCCCAAATAGCTCGCTTCTCGAGGTAGTTCTGGTATCGTAGTCGGCAGGAAATGGAGCTTCTTCCGGGTAGTCGTTTCGCAATGTCGTCCCACTTCATTCCCTGACCCCGCAGCTCGATGGTCAGATTGTCCTCCTCTGGTGTCCATTTGGACTGTTTCTTGGCCGGACTTTCGTCGGGGAGCGGGGTTTGAGATGCCTGTCGCTTGAGTGTTGAAGGGGGGGAGCCATTAGTATTTTGCGGGTGACGGGGTGGGGAAGGTCCATGTGGGCCGGAGTAAAGCGGGCGAAAGTGTGGGAGCGGTGCGGGTTCAGCGTGGCGGTGAAGTTCGGAGATGGCAGGTAGAACAGGTCCTCCTAGCATTGATCCGGGTCCTTGAGGTGCTGATGTTGGTGCCTGTTGGTATGCAGACATTGGCGCGTAGTGCGGGGGGCCTGGGTATGCGGGTGGTCCTGAGGCATACGCCGGCGACGCTCTTTGCGAAGGTGACTGTGTGTATGCTGAAGGTGCGGTTGTGTATCCTCTGGTCGCTCCTGTCGAGTGGGACACATTTGATATGGTGCTCTTCTTGCTCGCAGGTGACTCTGAGCCCCGAGCGCGAGGCTCGAGGAGGAGGTTGATATCCAGGATGACGGTGAGGGACTAGCTTCTAGCCAGCCCATAAAATGGAGAAAGTTGTCAAGAGACCTGCGTCCTTGGAAAGCTCAAGTTGCCGAAAGATGTACAGTCGGTCAGTCAGTAGCGGTGTTGGGGTAGGCGGCTGTAAGGTGTGGAGTACAGCAGATAGATGGCTATCTATAAGTTGGATGTGTACCGATCAGGTCGGGCGTTGTCGTAAGGTAGCCTCGCAGATGATTGACAGGAAACCGTCGTTTGATCAGCCCAGATGTGGCGTTGGGCAAAGGCAAGGCAGAAACTGAGGTTGTATCCGTGGAGGGTGGGTGTTGATGTGCAGGTGAAGTTGGTAAACAACAACAGGGAGGCGAAACGTGTTATGGGTAGCTGTGTATGAGGATGAACAGGAGAGGACAGTGGTAAGGTGATGAGGTTCGGATAGACTAAATGTGCCGACGATGACCCAAGTAGCCAGTTGCGAGGTACTTTGGATGATTCACGCTCTAAGTGGTCGATCGACTCGAGCTATTTGGGCTATGGGCCGGGGCTTTCGGAGCAGGGGGTGAAACAGGCCAACCACTCGGTCTGATGAATGACGGGCGTGCTTAGCCACTGACTTTTCAGGTCGAGAAGGTAGAGGAGTAGCGTAGGGGAGTGGTGGATACAGACTGGTAGGAGCAAAGGTAGGTAGGGTCTGAGGGAGTGAGCATGGATGTGTCAGTAGAGAGAGTTAGCGTGCGACTGTAATACTAATAGCAGGCATCCCTTGAAGCCCTGGGCTGGCGCCGCCTCATCGTCCGCCGCGGTAGGGATCCGGGGGCTTGGGATCAGGATGTACCCTTTGCGTTTCTGACTTGACACCCACTACCTCTGCGCTTAACGCTTTGGCGACTCGTGCTGGCGGCGCGCCACATTAACGACCCACAGACCACTTGCGTACCACAGCTGATCCGATCTAAGGAAGCATGTCTGCCGGAGATTTTAGCGAGACCAAAAAGAAAAGGACAGGCCAAATTGGCAGCGTTAGCTTGACACAAAAAGCACGACACCCGTTCTTGCGTGGTGAGTACTGCGATGACGTGTCCCCCACTTGGGGAGGTCACGGAGGTCACGATGTGGTGGTAGCTATCAGCAACCTACTCGCAGTCTTTGACGTGGGAGACGACTCCGGTGCATTTGCATTACTGCGGTTTGATATTGGCTTCGCCGGCGTGGTGTACTGGGCGTCATTTGCTGCCCTCCTTTCCGTCAGGCCTCAATGCGCCCAAGACGGGGCTGCGGCGTTTGCAGGTAGCAGGGCCGCGTTCACGATCGTCGAGGAAGCGGCTGGAGCGTGTTTTCAGTGCTTGAGGCAACGAATCAAGGATTATGATGAGCGGTGAACAGTCTCAGGGATTCGCTGATGGTTCGGAAGAGCACAAGCGCGATGACATGGAAGATCTGCAGCATGCTCGCCCTGCTCCGGCTATCTGACGCCAGAAGCGTCGCTACCGAAGCCTTGCGAACGGCTGACTTCATTAAGGCGGTGCAGGTGGTGATGTGTTCACGCCAACGTCGACAACGTTCAAGACGGGCTCCACCTTTGCAATTCCTGCGTTCATGTGTCCGGTCAAGAACCCCACTGTGGGCGGCGATCTAGCAGCGTCGCAGCATGCGCAAGAGGAGCGGTGAACTGCGGTGAACTGCCGGCGGCCGTGGGCGTGACGTCTAGCGCGCGCCATGGCAGCAACACGAATGGCACGGCTAGCACGATGGACACGATGTTGGCAGGCTGGTGTTTATGCGACGATGTTGTGCGCGCACGTGAGGGGCGGTGCTGCTGTGTTGTCTTCGTGTTCGCGAGCCACGTTATGTGAAGCTACGAGGAGGCGCCGCCCTGCCATGTCATCGGCGTGGCAGATTGCATCACGGGACCAGGGCGCGCGATGATGCGCATGAGGCGGTGAGGAGAGGCCGAACTGGATGGATGTTTTGAATGAGGTTGGATATAGCAGGCCCTTGGGCCAGTGGGAGCCGACATGCAGGTGCATTAGCCATGAACCATCCCCGTGCGCTGGCCAGCGCTAGGGCAAAGGGCCTTTCCTCGGCGGCGCCCACGGCCTGCTGAGTGATTGAAGGATCAAAAGACTCCCCACAGACCAGACGAGCACACAATCTCACCGCGCCGACGGCATGCGAACTGCACTTCCGCAGCCCTGGTCAGTCTGGTCGGTCTGGTTGAGTCTGCCTCTATCGCCTCTATCTGCCGCTTTGGGGGTCTTTGTCTGCTTGGTCCTCTCGGTCGCCTTGCAGCTGTCTTGCAGGTGCCACAGCCTCTACATGAATCTATAAGGCGCAGCACTCTATATTTACAGACGCGTGCATTGCATACATCGCATACAAGAGCGGTGAGGGACCCAGTTGGAGTTAGTTGGAGGTATTGGAGGCATTGGAGGAAATGACTTGTCTCGTTGACGCTGGCTGCTATGATGGGGTGCTGGCAGGCGCCCGCAGACAGCCGTCGAGTACCGACATCTGCATCTGATCAAGTGCAATCACCACGTCTTGGCTGACGAGCGCATGGTTTTGCATTAGTTGGATGAGGCAGCTCGACCCGGAGCAGGCCTTCCCTCGACGAAGATCATCAGAAATAACCGCCCACGCGCGAACGATGCCAGCGCACGGCGTGGGTAGATACTGTCCCACGCATCTTGCAATGTGAGAGCGCGTGGGGTGCGTGGGTGTGGCCGTTCGTCGCGGTTCGCCGTGTCCTGAGACATTCACTGTGGTTGACAACCACGGCCTTGGCATCGCTTAGGATACTCGATGCGGCCCTGCGCAACCCTCTCCAATGCTTTTCTTCGGCCCTACACCACTCGTAACCATCCCGCATACGGAGCGGGTCACCTGTCAACCGTACACCATCACCACCACCAACAGCGCAGAGTCCTTCTATATACATACATTACCCCTCTAGTGCACCTCGGCTCTGCCCCTCGCTCGCCATGTCACTCCAGAGCGCGGCAGACGTGCCGCTTCTCATTAGCTCTCCCAATTCGTCCTCAGAGCGCCGTATATCGCCGTCGTGGTCTGTTGCGCAGCTCAAGGCCCGCCTGGAGCCCATCACCGGTGTGCCCGCCAGCAGTCAACAGCTGTCGCTGCGCGTGGGCTCTCAGGATGCCGTCGCCCTCACGGCCGCCGACGAGGAACAGACGCGTCTTGCTGCCTTTCCGCTGCAGCCGTATGCGGAGATAACCGTAAGTGCTTCTTCTGCTTTCTCATTGCACGCGCGCCGCAGCCCTGTCCTGGCTGTGTCGACGCTGCCGTCCTCTCGCGAGCTGCCACATCTCTGCCACCCCGGCTCGCCTCTCTACTTCCTTGTATCTACTCTACACCCACGCCTAGCAGTTTCATGCGTCGCTCTCCTCGACTGCCCCATTCGTTGTCAGGTCCGACGTTGAGGCTGCGCGCTCCAGTCAGGTCATGCCTGCATATTCGCATGCCCCGCACTGCCCCTCTCTTCCCAATTGCTGCGCCTTGGCACGCGATCCGCGCGGAAGCCATCCTTCGTTTCATCTGAGTTACCAGATCGTCTGCAAGCGTTGGGCACGCCGGGACGCTGCTGGCACTCGGCATTCAATACCGACAACATAAACTTTCGCAATACCGGATAGCCTTTCGCTGCTGTCTTGCCATTTCTTTTTCGGCGCTTCGGCCCTACTCCAATGCCTTACATGGCCTCATGAATCACCCCTTGTACCGGCCACCTTGCTAGAGCAATCTCAACTGACATCCCCGAGCAAATGAATCCTCGCAAACATGCTCCCGAGCTGACAGCCATGCCTAGGTCGTTGACACTCGTCCGCCGGGTGCGAGGACGGACTTCACCGACCTGTCGTCCGTTGAGAAGTACGAAATGCCCGCTGCTGAGTACGAGCATCGGACCGACAGCGTACTTGCATGGAAGAAGGCGCAAAAGCTGGGTCGTTTTGACCCCGATGCTCCCAGCATCGAGCAGCAAAAGATCCGCGCCTCAGAACGGGAGGTAGAGGAACGAGGTAAGCCGTATATCTCCCGCATGTTTCACCCACACCGTTGAGCCGTACGTTTGCGCGGCAGAGCGAACGCCGGAACCCGGACATCAACCATCGCATTGCAGCCTTGTAGTCATCCATGTCGTTCCAACGTGCAAACCGGGGATGCTTCAAACTCTTCCCAAACCGGACTGCTGCATGCCTCCAAGGTTGCCGCCTCATCATAACAGGATTCACTATGTCTCAGCCTGTCATTACCCTCCGACAAGGACATCTGAGCGACAGGCAAGGCAATCTCGCATATCGAGTATCCTCTGGCCAAACCCGTCATACACGACTACCCTTTTCGGCCCCCTGCATCCAACCCTTGGCCCAGACCTCCACAGCCGAGCGTATGGCGCTGGAAGCACATCCGTTAGGCAAAATGCCATAGTAAACCGATTAACACTCGGAAATCGCTTCGAGTGTTGCCGTCCTCCAACGACTGTCGTCGCTCCGCTAGGTTACCCGTTTCTGGCAGGGACCGGGCAGCGGCAAAGGGTGCAAGTCGCCGAAACCCTAAACTCAATTCTCAAAATAAGCGATCGACGCCTTCCTTGCCACCCAGCCTCATTATTCTCCCCATTCTCCAGCTTCATTCGTCGACCAAGTCTCTCGGTAATACACTTCGACTACGACATGGTCCATTTCCTGAAATCTCCCTCTTCCTGCTCGCCCGAGCGAGATCGTCAGGGTGGTTTAGGGCACCAGATCCTCGGATGGCGCGGCCCGCAATTTTCCTTGCTTTCCAAAACACATCAGCACGTTACGCATCGTTTACTCCGCTGAATGCCATTATCCCCGAAGGATGTGTTGGAGATTTGTGGTGATGGATCCAACGCCGCACCACGCCTCGATATTCGCGCATCACTGCCTCGCTATAGCATTGCATTGGGCAGCGCCTGCATCTGTCTCGAACAATCAGGCCGCCTTCCCCGCTTGAGCCTCGCTGTTGCCACCACATCTCGAGTAAGATGTGATCGGTGTGCATGAGCGACCGGTTAGGCGTGCAATGATCTTGGGTTTCCGCGCATACGCGATGCTAGTTGCCAAACTGCCCGCCCGGCCGTCGGGACGTTGTTGTCCACTTACCTGTTCCGTTCCGCCTGGGCATAGGTTTGCTTCTTTTGCTCGCTTTCGCGTATACCTCCTGTCTTTGCCCAAACCATGGACGGATACGAGGGTTCGATAGGTTGGGCTCCACTGAACAGCGAACGGAGCTGATCTCGTACGATTATCCTGGCTGCATTCATACTCACACTTTGGTCTCCTTTACCGCATGTATACTTGCGAAGCGAATCGATTCAACTAACGCAAAACCCTTATTAGGCCTTTCTGTAAACGGTCGTGTTCGCCTCCTACCCGAGTCAGATGCGCGTCGGGGAACCATCTCCTATATTGGCCTTGTCCCTGAGATACCGGGTATAGGCGTCTGGATCGGCGTCACCCTCGACGAACCGACAGGCAAGAACGATGGCAGCGTCAAGGGCAAGCGATACTTTGAGTGCGCCAGCAATTACGGCGTCTTTGTGCGACCTGAACGCTGCGAGGCCGGCGATTTCCCCGCCCTCGACATGGGGGATGAGGATCTGGAGGAGCTGTGATCGGAACTCCGAATAGGGGGATGACAGGACAAGTATATCGGAGAACCACGGTGATCGAGAGGGGGGATCAGGGTAAGCGGCCACGTGGCAGCCTGGGTGGTGGAATGGAATTGACTTCAAACTACACATGTAGGTTCAAGCTGACTCCGCCTCCGAATACAATGACGAGACCGGCCTTGTACCGTGATCGTCTACAACCGTCACAGTGACTGCTTGTTATCATCATCTCTCCCCCGAAAACACCAATTAGATAGTCATAAGCTAGCAAAAATCAGATTATAGGCAGTCCACACGACGGATGTGAGTCTGTTGTGCCCCGCAAGTATCGTACTTTTCCACGTCCTCATCGTCGCGAGATTGTGCATGTAACGACTACAGTAAGCTCGTTCTTTGTTAATGTAAGAAACATAGCTAAGGCTAGACTATACAAATCGCACAGTTCTTTACAAACCAATTCGTATCACAAAGCCTGCAGTCTACATAGCAGCGTTTTAATCACAAGGTGAAGTACAAAAAGGCATGTTAGAGTACACACTGCCTTGACTAACCTCTAGACCCCATACAAGTATCACACTATGCCTACTACTCCGCCGTCTCAAGCGGCGACGCCAACCCCAAAAGCAAACACAACCTCTCTCGACACCACTCAGCCTTCCACCCCCCCTCAAAGTCCGGCACAAGCATCTCATCCTCCCACCCCCCCGCCTCGTGAACCCGCTCAAGCAGCTCCTCCAAAGCAATCTTCAACACCCCCTCCAACCTTCCCAGCATCTCCGCTGTCAGCCTCCCCGAGAGATCTGTCCCCGTATGAGCCAAAACAGCTTCAACAAGAGAAGCCACCATAGTAGTTGTTGTGGGGAGGTGCCTGCTGAAACTGGCATGGTCCCAATTAGGAGAGGGTTTGTCGTCCCGCTTCGCTTGCTCGACCGCTTGTGTGACTGCGGTGCGGTATGTAGATGATAGGTTCCAGATCTTGTGCCAGATTGTTTGGTGGAGTTGGTGTGTCTCCAAGGGGGTGGTTTGGAAAGGAAGGAGGGTGTTGCGGTAGAGGTAGGATAGTGGGATGTATCCAGTTCCATCTCTACCTTCGGATTCAGATTCCTCTTCAAATGGAAATTCATCGTCATCTTCCTCATCATCTTCATCTTCTTCTCCCTCCTCCCCATCCCACACCCCTCCCCCCGCAAAATAATACTCAACATCCCCATCCTCATCCTCCTCTTCCTCACCAAACCCCTCAAACTCCCTATCCCCCTCATACTCCACGCTCCCCTCCCCGTCATCCAAAACAAAAAGCTCTTGTCTGCACAAGGGGCAGGTATTTGTCCCCTTGGCGCTCAACCACGCAACGATGCAGGGTTCGCAGAAGATGTGGTTGCAGCTTGTGGTGTTGGAGAAGGTTACTGCGGGGTGGCCGGTGGTGGTGTTGTAGTCTTCTTTGCAGATTGCGCAGGAGGTGTCGTCCGGGGTGGTGGGTGTGATGTTGTGGGCGAGGAAGTGTGAGCGTGTGGGGAGGCTCATTGTGATGGATATGAGGAGCGTTTGTCTTGGTCTCTTGGTGGGTGGGAGAGTTTTGGTGTGGTGGAATGTGGTGGGATAGGTGAAAGTCTTGAAGAGTTTGTTTGAACCCTAGGTGAAAGTCGTGAAGAGGTGGTTTGGACTAGGAACGTAGTTTAGAGAAGGGATATGTTTTATACTCACAATGCTTGAAATCACTGCACTTTGCGGCTGGTCCTACCCATGGATAATATTCCGTATAATACTATGGTGCTTGCAACACCTCTGGTTGCAATGGCCTCGTACCACGGATATCGTAGCGCGGAGGTCCTTCCCACATCCACTCACAACGCGTCTTACTAACAACCTACTCATCTCTAAAGATCCACTTCCCACCTCTCCTGTGTGCGTCCAACCAGCGCTCTTGTACTATCGCCTTCTCTTGTTCCTTTGCACGTTCCCTGTCCTCCTGCTGTTCCTGTGTCGTGGGAAAGTCAACGCGCCAGAACCCTGGCGGCGTTCTTCGTCGCTCGTAGGCTTCGCGATGCTTCCCTGACTCTTTCGCCATCTTCTTCGTCCGAGCTTGGAGAACAAGCTCTTGCCGCTCTTCGGATGACATCTGCGTGAGCTGCATGTTGCTGTATGCATCGCCCAGATAGTCCTCGAGTAAAGCCTCCTCTTCCGACGGACTGAGAGGTCCTTGTGCCTCCGCAAAAGCTCGAAAAGTTGAGCCGCAACATTGCGGGTTAGTGCAGCCTGGAAGACACATGCGATCTCCTCGCTTGCGCACAGTCTCGGAGAATGCGTAGCTGAAGCCCTGGTTGTATTCAGGGTTTGGCTTGAAGTCCTTGACGCTGAGCTCGCCGACTGGCTTATCTCGGAGGCGAACCTGATCTTTTAATGGAGATGCACGACTTTTGTGAGCACTAGAGCGGGTCTCGGGAGCTCTCATGGTCCATATAGGGCCGTCAGGTGTCGGATCCTCACGAGGGCTCGCGCGAGGCTTTGACTTTGAGCTGCGCGCACCCTTACTGACGGAACGTGTCTCGGTAGTACGTGAGGAGCTTGCGGGAGGGGTCGGGTTTTGCTCGGTTTTGATCTTTACCGATCCTGACTTTGGGGTCTTCGGTGATGCCTTTCCTGGCGTTTGAGGCGTCTTCAATGCTTGCAATCTTTGGTTCATCTGCGCTCGAGCAAGGTGGGGCGGCAGCCTCGGCTTACGTTTATTCGCAGGTAGTGCCTCGCCCGACTCTGCAAGGAAAGAATGCTTGTCTTGTTGATACCCTTGAATTTGCCGTGAACGTTTCATAGGAGGCTCTTCAGACGCACTGCTCACCACGTTGGGATCGAGGGATCTCAACACAGCGTCTCCTACTTGCGTGGGTTCATTCGGCTCACTAAAGGCTCGCGCTTCGATGCTCGTGAGTGCTTGAGGCTCGAGCATCTGATCATACATGTCATGCAGATCAGTATCATCCAGGTTCTCGTTCTTAACGGCCTGCGTAAGTGGCGCGCTGTTACGCCTTTGCTGATGAGGCGTTTCCACGGGATCTGTGTCATGCAAGATTCGTGTCCGGGGATGACGAGGAGTCTTGATCCCATGGGGCGCAGGATCGTCCAGATCCATCGTCTCATTCCGAGTCATGTTGAAGGCAGGAAGCGGAGGACTACTGCGAGGCTCTTCTTTCACGCGATGGGGCTTTATTGGCGTGCCATCTGACGAGTGATCTGCGTATATCTCGAATCTGGATTTTGACGGCTGGCCTCGTTTGCGCTTTAGTGACCTCTCGGAAACAAATTCGGGGAAATCATCGTCATCTTCAGCTTCCATAGCCTGTTCAAATATGCTCCGCGGCTCGGCCTGCTCATCCACTGTTGTTTGACTAGAGCTTGGAATCGCTGAACGATGGCCTTCATCCTCTGAAATTATGCGCTGGACGTGCGAAGAGACACCGCCATTGTGTTCTTGATGCTGCTGTAGCTGCACATTCCCCGATAGAGCGCTAGCCTTTGGAGTGACGGTTGTGGTGGGGCTCCGAGGTTCCTCGCCGCTGACCGTAGTCGGAGACGCCAACCGACTCGTCGTCCCTAGAACTGAACGCGGAAGCGGGGCCATGGAAGCAGGAGAGGAGCGATCCGGATTAGCGATGGATCCGGGAGTTCGTACAGTGGCCAGTGAAACTGGACTGGAAGGAACATGAGGCCGTTCCTCGGGAAGAAGGTGAGCAGTCGCCATGTGTGACTTGTCGGCCCCGTCTCTGGCCTCGCTCTTCGACTTTTGTTTCACTGCTTGCCGATCTGCGTACTCTTGCCATGCGCGCACGCTCTCTTTCATATCCCTGTTCTTTTGCATGACGTTGGCGTTCTTCTTCTGGAGATACTTGACTTGTTGAGACATGTCCCGGTACTTCTTAGTCAAGTCGCTAAACCGGGCAGCAAGATCGTGATACTCTTCTTCGGTAGCCTCGTTTGCAACCCCGTGATCTGGTAATGGTGCAGCGGCCTCTTGTAGAGCCGCGAGTCGTTGCTTCAACTGCTCATTCTCGGTAGCGAGGTGGCGATAATCGTCGGACGCACTTGGTGCATCAAGTTCAGAGACATGCTGGTCGACTGGCCCCCTAGTTTCGAGCTGTTCTTTCAGGTGCTCGTTCTCCTTGGCAAGACGCGCTGATTTCAGAATCTCGTCATTCAGATGTTGGAACAGTATTTGTTGGTTCTCCTCCTCTGCAGCAGGTCAGTATGTAACTCGATGAATAAGACAAAACGCGTACTTTGATCTAGCTCCTTCTGATGTTTCTCTTCTCCTGATTGATTCTTAGCAAAGATCGACGCGTTAACTGGCCATACGTACTCGTCTTCCATTCCTTCTCTAGGTCAGGCTTGATGACCTCATCGTACACTCGCGTCCAGAGCCCTTTGTTCTGCTCTACCCAGGCTGAAAACTCCGCCATATTGGACCAGTCCGACAAGGCATGAAAACGACAGGTATGACAAGAGATGACTTGATGTTCGCGTGTTTCCTGAACAGGCTGCAGCATTACATAGGCGGCAATTGCGAAAGATGCGCGCTAGTGGAGCGCGCAGTCACGCGTACGCACAGACACTCTGCGATAGCGATAAGACATGGTACCATTCCGACATCCCGAGGCGCATTCGCCGCCGACACGACAGCCATAGCCAGGTATTATGAAGCGCGCACACGATGGCGATGATGACGGCGAGCATCCAGCCAAAGTACAGCGGCTTTTACATCCCGACAAACTCTCTCGATTGAGCGAGGAGTTGCTTGTGCGCATACTGTCTTTCGTGCCCGTACCCTCGCTATTAGTATGCCAAAGGTAGGTAACGTCATCTTCGTTGAATCGCGACATTCGCTAACTGTTACAGGGTATCAAAGAAGCTCAGTCGCCTTTCGGTCGATTCGGAATTATGGAAAGCCGCTTACTATCGCACATTCGTCCTCCCTCGAGCGTCGCGCATACCAGGCATCAGAGGCCCTGCCAACCCGAATCGGCTACACTACTCCTCGCGGTTATCGAAATGGCTCGAAGACGGCTACTTAGTCAAAGATGGAACACAAACGAACTGGAAGCAGCAATACCGTTTACGGCATAACTGGACCCAGGGACAATGCGCCGTCAGTGAGATTGTGGTCGCTGAACGGCCTCCAGACCCACCGCTGCTCGTCATGATGTCCAACAGCATCATCTATGCTGCCGACTCCATGTCAGGCCTGCGAGCGTGGGACTCGAAGAATGATAGGGAGCTACTGGCATCCACGGAACTCTCTGGTGAAACAGATATGGCTCGGTTGCCGATATCCATGGCCATAGATGCCTCGAACACGGACGATGGCATGGAGCGAGTCGTCATAGGCTTTGAAGACGGCTCGTTCTCCATTTACGCACTTAGAACGAATCGCAAGAAGTTCACGAATGTCTTCACTCATCCGCCATCAACAAACGGAATGCTGTCGGCTCTCGCATACTCATCGTCTTATCTCCTCACGATGACCGAAGACCACCTCCTCTCATTATACGCTTTTGAAGAGGTGCCTGGCACGTTCGGGCTATTAGAGGCACCGAAGCTGCTATACTCCCTACGATCGAACACTGCATGGCCACCTGTCTCGTTATCGCTGCGCACAACAGCACATACAATGACCGCCGCGATCGCATACTCGCTGCCGACGTACCTATCCGGCTGGACTGTCGGTGTGCAGGAGCTCATACTCTCACACAAAGGCGACCTAATCGAGTCACGGTTGGCAGCTGCGGCGGATGAACACTCATTTACGCTCTCTACATACCGCGCGGCCTCTTCTTCAGCACGCTCGTCATCGCCTTTACCAGATCGCGCCGACGAAGCCTTAGCACCGAGCGGGCCGAGCAGATCGAAACCTACCTCCATGTCGTACTCTCATCCGTATCTCCTCGTCGCGCATCCCGATAACACACTATCACTCTACCTCGTCCGATCCACATCGCAAGCACTATCGATCAGCTCCGGCAACCGCCTATGGGGTCACACGTCTTCGATATCCGGCGCCCATGTCGGTATGCGCGGCAAGGCTGTGTCCGTGAGCAGACGAGGGGACGAGCTCCGGGTATGGGATCTAGAGGGCGGGATGAACTCCTCCGCGAACCGCAAGCGCTCAAGAAACGGACAGTTAAGCGTTCGTGTACAGCCATCCAAAGCCAGTGAAGAGTACACCCAGGACGACGACTCGGGGCAGCAAGTGGGCTTACGGTTTGCGCTTGACCAAGGCTTTGACGACTCTTCCGTCAGTCGTGGTTGGGTCGGCTTCGACGAGCAGAACGTCATCGTGCTGAGAGAGAAGAGCGAGGGCAGTCAGGCGTTAGTGGTCTACGATTTTACATGACCTGTTGAAGGCTCCGAGGCGCCAGCATCTTTTAACAAATATACCCCCATAGAACGTCGCCGATTCATACGAACATCGAACTTTTAGTATCTACCGGAGCTCGACACTGGCGATACTTTCTCAGTTACTGATAGCTGTCATCAGTTCACTCCCACACTTCCAAGGGGTCACATGCTTTATCTGCCGTATCCCCAAGACACATCACAATGATCCGGGCTCTCGTGACTAAGAGATCATCATGCGTGATCACTCACATCGTACATCATCTATAAGACGCAGACCTGCGCTTACTATCCAAGCAGCGTACCCCTCCAACGACTTCGCCCTGTTCGCAAACCTGACCAAAGATCAGATATGGATATAAGCAACACAGCTTTCCCGACGCAGCAACCAATCGACAACGCCGAACTCAACGCACCTCCTGCAACTCCAAGCGATGGTCTACTGCAAACTCGGCCCAATGGGCTTGCACACGATAATTACATCCCTCTCGCTAACAACTTCGCAAACTCTTCCTCAGAGCGAACATTCTACCGACGTGGCCTAGACGGACAATTGCATCGAAGCAGCGACCCGTCGAACAGTAACTATATGCTCGATGTAAGTGGTTGCGGCTTTGGACGACTGCCTGACTCACTGGTGCCCACTGCGCGTGCAACAATGACTATCGTTGTGAATCTTGATTTTGAAGAGTTGAATTCGGATACTCCTTTGGTAATGGAGACAGGCCGGCGACATCTGCGGAGGCTGTTCGAAGCAAGAGCTTTGGAGGTGTTGCAGAAGTATATGGATGAGGAGAGGAATGGTCAGGGGGTTTGAAGGGCGCAAGGCTCGAGATTGGGATGTAGTAGCTGTAGGTTTTGTCGATATCTTGGAGGGTCGTCTAGGTGGTATCGCATTACAGTGACATGGACGGGCTGGGTGTTGCCCTGGTGGTGGTTTCGCACACATGTGACGTCACCGCTTGGACTACTATCTACCTAGGGAGGTAGCCGCATCTTTCCGCGACTTCCAACATCATCTCAACCCTATCAAAATCACGGGAACTGAGCTGCCACGCGCACAGCAAGCTCACACTTCGTCTTTCTGTCTCATATCAGCCTGCCTCGCAAGATGTAGAGGACATCTCTTGGACCGCATCTTCACACAATCGCACAGTTCCATTAGCTGGCATTGAAGATGTAACACGAGCATATTGATACTAGCTAAGAAACTAACGTCGGTCAAACACAAAACGCAAAACGACCAGCGAGTCTCGAAGTTTTGGCCCGCCCATGATACCAAAAGCTCACATCAATATCGACCAAGCGAATGCGGGACAGGGGTGTCAGCTCCAGCCCTCGTCAGCTCAGGAGATTGGACTGGAAAATCTGGAAAGACCCCGATGCCTCCGCCATCCCACGCTCCCGCTTGCATCATCTCGATGCCAAGAGCTTTTGCGCTGGTTCCGTGATGGAAGGTAGTCTGCTCTGTGTCGGATATCGGGAAGGGTCGCCGAGGATGACCTTGCGATAGACAATCGGTACGCTCCACCTCCTTGCGCATCCCCTCCGCCCTCTCCCAACTACATCTTCCCAAGAACTGATCATGATCCTCCAGTCTCCACATCTTCCTCTGTACCTCCTCCGTAACCCTTGCCTTCAACGTCTCGTACTCGTCTTGCTCCAGCATCCACCGTATTTCCTCAGCGAGAGGATGCGACTTATCTTGCACTTCTGTTAATACAAACCAGACTATTACATCCCCGAAAACGGTGTCGCGAAGACTACCGTGATACCCATCCCAGATCAGCTCGACGTGCTCGTCGGTCATATACCAAGCTTCGTTGCCTATCCACTCATCTATAATTACATCTTCGATCCTGTCGGCATCAGCGTGCAAACCAAATACACGGCAGGCTCGGATCGTCTCGATACCGGCGGCCAGACTGGGTGGTACGCGCAGCTCACCTGTGGGTCGCACGCTGGCTGCTTTGCACGCGCGACGCATGTACCGCATTACTCTTGCGACTCCAGATTTCTCGGCTTCGTCTACAGGTATCTTCAACAGGTCAGGGCGCCCGTCTCGGTCTGGTATGAAGCGATCGAGGACGGAGGCGCCGCAGAAATGCCATAGCATGCGAAGCGGAACGTTGCGGACGTATGATTTCTTGGTATCGGCATTCACGATGTCGACTGTGAAGCCGGACTTCAGTGCGATTAGCGTTCTGTTGTCTGTATGCTGCATCGTGTCAAATAGTCTTCCAGTGTGACCTTCGAGCGGCGCTAGTCTCTTCCAGTTCTTTCTGAGCTTTCGGCGGATTACTGGAAATGGTTTCTGAGTATCTGAATCAGTGGTCTCATCCATGTTCGCAGCGCTCATCTCTGTGGATACTGGCTTGGTCTCGTCGTATTCTGGACTATCATGTAGTCATGCCGCATGAGCGCTCTCAGAAGCCTCAGATCTATCTGTTGGCGACTGTGGTGTCGTTTCGGCGTCGTCACATTTTGTAGTGTTGTCGAGCGTCTCTTCTGGGCTGGCAGGAGCGTTGCTGGCCATGTGCATGTCTAATGCCATATTACAAACGGTTGCGACTTCTTGTAACATCTGTTCGAGCGCTCTATTGAGCACCGAAACAGGATCACGTTCTTCGATATGATCTTCCAGGGCTACGTCGGTGCGCGATGAAGCGATCGGTGGGTTAGCTTCGACTTCTCGTCTATGGTCCTTTGGGTCAGGCACATCCCCTGCAGGTGAATGATCGACCGCCTCTTTGTCTCCGTCGCAAAGTTCCTCGCCACTGCCACCGCGCAATTCGACCCCAGGTTCCTTTTCAGTACCTTTTTCTTCTTCTGGCTTGGGCACGACATCGCGCTCGTCATACTGCTCTCCCGATGGATGCGCAGCCTCGCCCAGCGAGCGCCGGCTCGTATGCAGAGCATCATCGCACTCGACGTCCTTCGCCATATCCGGAACATTGCAGCTTTTCTCGACAGTACTTTCGATAGTCTTGTCTGAGAGCCCGAAGTAATCCGTCGCGTCGACTTCAACGGCCGCAACGGAACAAAGTGGCAAAAAGCCATGCGGTTCGTATGGCGCAGGGTTAGGAGAAAGGATAGGATTATGCTTCTGCTTTGGCACTGAGAAGTAATCCTTGACTGGTGTAGGCTTCCCGTCATTCCTGTTTTGATGCGACTCTTCAGGTGTGGAGGTATGCATGGCTATGAACCCATGCGAAGTCTTTGGTGTGTAAGCTTGCCACTCCGAGGGGTCAACGGCGGTAGTCTCGCGTTGAAACACGGGGCGAGGGATTTGTAATCGAGGATTACTGAGGGGTGCTTTCTTGAGTGCATCTGGAGTTCTTGGTGAGTCTGACATATTGGCGTCGTGAGTCGTGGTTGCAGCGGTTGAGATTTCTGGCAATACGAGATTTCTAGACTTATGTATCGACCACTACCTGAGCATGAATGAGCGAGCGAACATAGTATATGTGTCACAATCTGCCAGCAGTTCAGTAGTTGTGTGTATGTTGACCCAGGAATAGGTGTTGTGACGCATCTGCCACGACAATCGGATAGCTGGAATGTTGTATACTGCACTCCCGGTGTGTCTCTAGTTATGAGACATTCACCACTCCTCGTTCACATGCTATTTTCATTTTGGGCCGCGACTTTCTTCATGCGCGCCCTTCACTCTTAGAAGTTTGAGTTTAACTTCCATCGAGTCTCATTCACCACATTTGCAACTGCACAGCACAGTCCTACAACGCCAAAGCGCGGCTTCCAAGGTTCCTCGAGCTTTTCCCAAACGCATGAGCCGCGTTTCATCGGCATTCAGCCATCTCAACCATGGATGAAGCAGACCAGTCACCGCCAAAAAGGCACCCACTCGTGGGCCCCGGAGTTTACTCAGGAACGAGCGCGCTTCCCGCACAATCACCATTCATGGATCGCACGAAACACTTGGCTGAGTTGACGACGGACATGGAAGCTATCATTCCGGATTACGATGATGTGACCGCATCACCACTTCATGCCGCTGAGGCTAAAGACAACGACCGCACACCATCAAACGACATGGAAGGATTTGAGACTAGTGGAGATGCGGCCGCAGATATCGATGAAGGTATATGGCACGAACGCGCACCCTGGGCTGCACCAACGCCACCCAGCCCAAATCCCCTCGCAGACCTTGCCGACCCACCTGAGTTCCATCTAGACTCAGCGCCAATACTGGAATCAGCGAACAGCTCTTCCTCGCCAACGCATGCGGAATCACTCCCGTCATCTCCGCGTCGTCTGTCTTCCCTCTTGAACAGGGCTATAAACTACTTCGGCAGCTGTATTGGCAGCTACTTCACGTCCGCGCCTGGCGTAATCGAGTACTCCGGCGCGGATATCCTGCGAAATACTCAAGTCGGTATCGAGGCGGAAGAGCTCACATTTCCGGACAAGCCTGCAGTGATTAAGATCGTAGCTATCGTCACCGATAGCTCCGGTGCAGGCAGAGAGAAAGATGAGAAATACGAGGCAGTAGAGAGGCGTGTGGAGTTACGGGCAAAGCCTAAGCGAGTGAAGGAAATTTTGAGAGGGGAGAGGTATTACATTGCCGAAGATTTCTATAGGAAGGAAATTCGGCTCGCGTTCAAAGCTTTGGGAAAGTTGTGAGTGGCTCGTTGTGTATGGGTCGGTCGCGTGGTAACCGAAGTTTGAGAGACAGGAATTTCATAAATATGGTCCTTTCTCGCTGTTTTACTCTCAAACACCAAAATTCTTCTCATAACTACAAAGTCTTCACCACATCTAAATCGAACACGTTTAGCACCTCCAAAAGCATACAAAGGCTGCACATATCATCACATACACTACTACAAACCCTAAGTAGTCGCTAGGCGTATCTGAACACCACACCACACACGCCGCGCAAACCCTCTGTACTCCTCAAACCCCAAGATGGCGTCAGAAACCAGCTCCTCAACCTCCTCCTCCGATAGCCAGCAAACCACCACAACACAAATCCTCGAAGAAGCAAACAGCTTCCGCATGCTCGTCGCATACAAAACAATGGCCACTCGACCACGAATCGAAAAATGGCTTTCGGATGTGTCCGAACAGACATGCCTCCCTCTAGGCGAATTCCCACTCAAAAGACCCAGTGCAACGTTCAAGAGAATATGGACATCCACGCAATTTGGGCCTGTTAATGGGAGGTACCTTCTTGAGTTTGAGGAGGAAGGGGGGTATTATGTTGAGACGGAATCGGTTGGGATGCCGAGGATGCAGTCACATCCAGATAAGTCGGCGGTTAGTGAGGTTTGGGAGGAGAGTCGGGGTGATGGGGGTGACGCTGGATGGTAGTGCGTTGGAGGTGTGAGGGTGACGTTCTGGGGTACAATATTATAGTAACACGTTAACACGTTAACCTAATAAAAGACTAAATACTCTAGAGCCTACGTTAACGTTAGGTCACCTAATTTGTAGGTATCTGTCTTAATGTAGTCCGCAGACCTGCTTAGTGTTTTTCGTGTATGAGGTGGTAATAGTCGCGTAGGTTTGCGGATGCACTTAGACCATGTCCTTATTTCTTTCTCTCGTTCGTCTTCCGTTCGTCGCAGCGCGCAGTTTGCCAGAGTGCCGTTTGACGCCGTCAGAGAACCAACGGAGATGCTTCAACGACATGCCTACTTCACTGTATGCAATCGAGAGTTGCTAATGAGCAACGGCTCTTCCTTCGACTCTCTGGGTGTGTTCTCATATTCCACGCATATACCGCTCACGCCATGAGCCGAAGCGCCATGACTACCCACGGCTACGTCGCGGACTATTATATCGACGACCTCGACGATTTCGATGTCGAAGAACAGTATCGCCTGCTGTACGACTTGCCAGATGGTCGCTTCGTCGCGCCGCAAGTTAAGCGACGCATGTTCTACAAAGGCGAAACGGCATCGCAAGCTTTGGAACACGTCCGCCGGTTCGTACCTTCGCCGTTCAGCCCCAATTCATTATCGCCTTGTTTGTACGATGCGCCATGCTTAATCGATGAGGACCGGTGGCATGAGGCTCGAGTCAAATTGAGGCGTGAAGGTGTGTTGTACAGGACCCGAGAGAGGAACGTTGAGAAGCTCACAAGATTCTAGGAGCCATTCTGCCTTGTGACTACATGTTCAGCGATGAAAGCGGAATGGTGGAGTCATTTGATAGCAACGAGACGATCCGGCCAGCTGGTGTCGCATGGCGTGGGGACGAGGCTGAGTCGATAGCGGAGGATTCGCCCCTGTTGATAGCGGACCAGAGTCAAATCACTGTCCAGAGCGATGGCGTCATTTTGTGGCAGTTGCTCATTGACTTTGGCAAGGCTGTGCGGAAGATTTTGGCTAAGTTGTTGACGTCTCAATGCGCGTGTTGAAAGGTTGTTGGTGATCTTGTAAGCTTATCTCCTGATCCATTGGATTGGTCGGAACTCTAGTGTCGTCAGGCCACCATTGTCTTGTCTAGTGCTAGGCTGTACGCTTAGTGCTCTATGTATCATATTGCGGCGTGGGTGCCGATGCAAGCGATGAGGTGGCGTATTACCCGTGAACGCATGTAGTGCCCTGCATGGGCGGCTCACCGACAGGTCAGCCTCGGCTGATACAAGCCCAGACCCGAGCTTCGTATAAAAGTGCGGTCTCTTCTTCGGCGATGAATACACAGGTATAGAGGCATCGTATGTGATGGATGCTGCGTGGCATCGTCGCTGCTTCCTGCGCTGAGACAGACCCCGCTTTCTCTTGGCATTCTGAGGCACCCACACCACGCCATTGTCCATGGCTTCCATCATAACCCCGACCGGCAAGACTGACATTGCGACCTCCCAGCTTGATGCCGCTTCACTCGCTGTCACAAATCACCAGTCTGGAAACAACGCTTGGCCAAATACCCTTCGCGCGACAACGAGAGCGGCGCGTCGCCGTGGAAAGCTCGATGGACCTTTTCAATTTCGCTTTCTTACCGCGACAGACCCTACTCAATTCAAGGATGGGGAGACAAGACGAAGCGTCCGTTCGCAGGCGATGAGGTATCATAGGAACAAGATGAACAACAGCCACGCAGCACCTCGGGAACAGCCCAAAATAGTACCACCTCTTTACACTGAACCAATAGTCGGCGAGCAGGTCGAGCTCACGACGACTCAAGCTCAATTACTTTCCCCAGAAAGAACACTGAGAGCGCTTGTTCCTTATGAATATGATCAGCAAACTCATGTACCGACTACGAGGTCCCCAAAGGAAGCGAGCGGTGCTGAGGCTCGTGATGCTGCGTTTGAACGCTGTCGGCAAACTCGCTCAGGCCGAAGGCAGAGTATAAGCTTCCAAAAGGTTGTTGGATACGAGTACACTGAGAGCCAAGAAGAACGCAAGATTCGGTTATTCACGACCACTTTCTCTCAGATCGGAGACGGGTTTGACCCTTTCAAGGTGTTGCCCCAATTCGAGAACCCTAGTTTGAACAGCGGTTTCATCTTGCGTGCATGTAGGTGTACAAAATCTTCCAGACTTTTCACGTCATATGCTCTGGTTCAATGGCTGACACTTACAGTCATGCGGGCGTTCGGGACAGAAGCATTTGTCAAGGCATGGGCACCCGAAATGAATGTTCATCCCCATGTAATGCTCAGTGGTATCGGGTCCGTGACATGTACTTGGCTCGATATGCTCGCAAAGATTCCAGGCGAAAGTACAAGGACTAGGCTTGTCAGGGATGAAACCCTGGTCATGATCAGGCTTCGGCTTCAGTCGTTCACCCGGGAGGACACCGTGTCAACCCTCCTGGTGATGCTTCACTTGCTGGGAGGCGACATGTGGAGCTGTGATGAGCCCACGATCCGGTGTCACGAACGAGGCATCGAACAAATGATACTCCTGTGCGGCGACCTGGAAAAGACCGGTAGGGCGATGATCGCGCAATTTACTACTGCGTAAGCTTCATGACCTCCTGATAAAGAGTGCAGACTAATAATGCTTTCAGGTGTTGTTTCCACTGCGACCTAATTTACGAAGCCCAACCCCTGCCGACCTTTGCGTTGTGTGAGCCTGCAAAGTATGAATCGGTCAACGATAACGCAGATGTCGCAATACCAGAATCCCCATTATTCTGCCCAGGGCCTGAGTTCCGAAATCTTCTCAACGAAGAGCGTTGCTCATCTACCACATATGGCCTACTTCGAGATATGCGCGACTTGACCGACCTATTCCTGGCGCAAAACACAGCACTTGAGCCCGCTGGCGATGCTAAAGACGTTCATCTAGCCTATCCGCCTTCCAAAGAAGTCGAATATAAGACAAGAGTGGCTGGAATTTGCGATCGATTAGCAAATCTACCCCCGGCTTACACTCCAGATCACCCAAACTCCTGCGATTGGGTCTATGAGGCGTGTCGTCTCGCTGCCACGATCTACACGACTTCTATCGTACGCCGCTTGCCTTTCTCTGTTGCTGCGACATCAAGTCGCTACCCGTTTTGTATCCAAACTGGAGCTGAGCCACATAGCAGCCAGATCTCACTTACAACCCACATCTGCGAAGAGTTGATGCAGACTCTAGAACGTACCGACCTCGCAAACGTGTGGAATGGTATGGTTGGAGTGCTATATTGGATATGTACCGTTGGCGCTGCTGCAGCTCGTTCGCCCCGCTTGTCCGGCCTGTCACAGCGACTCCCGTATAGCACGACATGCAAGTTCCGGGTTCGACAGTGTCTGACCATGTTTTCCGTCCGCGCACATGTCATCTTGATCTTCAACCATCCCATACCCATCCTGCTATCTCAGAAGAAACTCCTCAGGGTACAAGAGCTTATTGGAACATATCGCCAAGGTCGCAACACTAAGCAGTCCCCTCGAACCACTCTGAATTCCACAAGCCTCTAAAGCGACGACATCTGCACCTACTGAGGCTTGAATGCAAGCCGAGCAATGCATCCATCTCTTGTGATGCGCATTCAAAGCAAAGCGACCCAAGACAGAGTCAGAAGCCGGCTGCTGACAAAAGATGCTTGCGCTCCCGTAAACACCGAAAGCCGTATGAATCAGAGGGGAAGCGCACTTGTCCACGCCGCTAACCCCAGTTAGTTCTCTCACCGTTCAGTTAGTCACTGCATATCCGGCTTTGAACGAACTGTCCAGGAAGTTCTTGGTGCGCGATGTGCGGTTGGCCGAATACTCTGGCTTTCCTCCTCCGCGCGCATCACGAGAGGCCGAGCTGAAGTTCCCGGGCGCCTCGGGTCGCGACCATCCGCAAGATCCGGTCGCGATGTGTTCTGCAATTCCAGAACAGACGATCGCAGTTGCGGACAAAAAATCTGTTCCTTGCACTGAATTTTATTGGTGGTGTTCGGAGATCTTCGCTGCCTACCGATGTGGGCCGGCGGAGCATTTCGCACCCTGGATCTGAGGGGTTGCAACTCACCTGCTAAGCTTCGCGGCTCCCATCTTATCCCGACCTCTTATGACGTCGCAACTATGCCTGTCTCCTATTCCATCAGGCACGGTTGTTTACATCGCATTGAAGCCTGGGAAACGGTAATTCGCTTTGGCGATTTCGGCGCTTCTCCAACCCATACCTCGTGGGGATGCCATCATAGAGGGCCCGTGCGTCGAGCCTCTTTTCGTCCCTTCCTTGTCCGAC